AAAAAAAAAAAAAAAAAAAGAAATATAATACATGTAAGGATTACAATCAAAAGAAAATTTGCATGCCAGAACAACAACAAATAACCCATTCCATTAGGAAGCCAACTGAAAGCAATGTGAAGAAAATTAAGGCCTGATACAGGGACTCACACCTGTAATTCCAACACTGTGGGAGGCTGAGGTGGGCGGTTCATTTGAGCGTGGGAGTTAGAGATCAGCCTGGGTAACACAGGAAGTCCCCATCTCTATAAAAACAAACAAAAATAGCCAAGTATGCTGGAGTGCACCTATAGTCTCAGCTCCTTGGGTGGCTGAGGCAGGAGGATTGCTTGAGCCCAGGAGGTCAAGGCTGCAGTGAACTATGACCACTGCACTCCAGATTGGGTAACAGAGCCAGACCCTGTCTCTAAAAAATATATATAAATAGGCCAGGCGCAGTGGCTCACGCCTGTAATCCCAGCACTTTAGGAGGCTGAAGCAGGCAGATCATGAGGTCAAGAGACCAAGACCATCCTGGCCAACATGGTGAAACCCATCTCTACTAAAATACAAAAATTAGCTGGGCATGGTGGCGCACGCCTGTAGTCCCAGCTACTCCGGAGGCTGAGGCAGGAGAATTGTTTGAGCCTAGGAGGCAGAGGTTGCAGTGAGCAGAGGTTGCAGTGAGCGGAGAGCACGCCACTGTACTCCAGCCTGGTGTTTGGTGACAGAGCGACGCTCTGTCTCAAAATAATAATAAAATAAATACATAAATAAATAAAACCAAGTTCTCCTTTAGAAACATCTTGTAGCCACTAGCCTGACATTTTATACAAATAAATAAGAAACATGATGCAAGAGTCACTGAAGGTATTTCATTTATTTATTTATTATTATTTTTTTGAGACGGAGTTTCGCTCTTGTTACCCAGGCTGGAGTGCAATGGCATGATATTGGCTCACCTAAACCTCTGCCTCCTGGATTCAAACAATTCTCCTGCCTCAGCCTCCCGAGTAGCTGGGACTACAGGCGTGCCCCACCATGCCCAGCTAATTTTTGTATTTTTAGTAGAGACGGGGTTTCACCATGTTGTCCAGGATGGTCTTGATCTCTTGACCTCGTGATCCACCCGCCTCGGCCTCCCAAAGTGCTGGGATTACAGGCTTGAGCCACCGCGCCCGGCCCTAAACTGTAACAGTTTTATTCTACTGCTCTTCCCATTCCTCCTTCTCCCCCAAGTTTTGTTTGTAGTCTGTGACTGCAACCTAGTCTGTATTTAGTACATATTGAATAATCAACAATGAAATGTAAATATTGAGCACATATTGTGTGTCAAACAGATGCATTAACTCAAACCTCACAGCAGTCAAGTTGAGGCATCCTGAGCCTACACTGCATCTATGTTGCATTAATAAATTAGTAAATATGTGACCAAATAAATGAAGTGACATTTAGTGGTATCCAAAGAACCTATGAGTAGGACTTCCTAAGAATGCTCTCCTTTTCACGGACAAAATTGTAGTCTGTTTAAAATAAATTTGGGATGTACACGGTGGCTTATGCCTGTAATCCCAGCACTTTGGGAGGCCGAGGCAGGTGGATCACCTATGGTCACGAGACCAGCCTGGCCAACATGGGGAAACCTCGTCTCTACGAAGAATACAAAAATTAGGCGTGGTGGCGGGCACCTGTAGTCCCAGCTATTCGGGAGGCTGAAGTAGGAGAATTGCTTGAACCCCGGAGGCGGAGCCAAGATCGCGCCTTTTGCACTCCAGCCTAGGCGACAGGGACAGACTCCATCTCAAAAAAATAAATAAATAAAATAAAACTTAAAAAATTTTGAAAAACCGTTAGCACTCATCAGCAGATCTTCACGCTGCTGGACTCGGGACACTTGGGGCCCTATACAAGCAATTAAACTGACACACGTGGTTAGAACTACATCATCCTGATTCGGGAATCCGTCCTCTACTACTAGAAGCCTTTGTGGAATGCACGCGGCGAACCTGACGCTTGAGATCTGACACCACACAGATACCGCGTGGCATTTACGACCGGGTAGGGACCTGTGGGCTGGCCGCCTCATCCCGGCATGCACCTCAGGGTCCGGCGACCACGCCTTCCGGCGAGCGCCAGGGAGCGCATGTGCCCCTCGCCGCCCGGAAGCACCGCCCTCTCGTTGCATGCTGGGAGTTGTAGGTCTCCGGCCCCAGCCCGCGGGCTGCTGCCCGCACTCTGTATGAAACTACTGGCGCCGGCGCCTGCCCGCGCGGCAGCGACGCGGGGAGCGCGCTTTGCGCTGACTCAGCGGCGACGGCGGCGGCGTTAGCGGGCCCTCGCGCTCTTTCCCTTCCTGGGGCGCCGACCCCGCCCGCTTGCTTGCTTGCCTGCTTGCCTGCTTGTACGGCGCCACGCAAGAGAAGGTGCCAGGGGACGCGGAGCGACGAGAGGCGCGCGGCCCCGGCCAGCTCCGTCTCCGGCGTTGGCGCTGCGGCCGTGGCGGAGGACTACGGCGACAAGGACGAGGGCCGCTCTCCCAGCTCTCTGCGTGCAGCGCCGCTCCCCTGGCCCACCATCGGGAGTGCAGGCTGGGAGGCGGGATGGAGTGATAGGGAAGGTGACTCGGGGCTCGGGGGCGGTGGGACCGAGACCAGGCTTTTTCCGTGAGAGGCTTCGAGGAATTTGGCCGGGGATGACCGGCCCGGGGCAGCCCCGACGCCGGGGAGGATACCGGCTTGGGACCCTCCATGGCGGTGCGCCCCAGGCTGGGCGGACCGGGTGGGGGTGGGTACGAGCTGGGGCCGCCGCCGAGGAGCGCGTCGCTAATGCGTGGCCGCTTGTTGCCTGGTGTTTCATCACCCGAATTGCCACGAGGCTTCCTTTAGGGGAGGGATCGGGGGAGGGATGGGGGCAAGGCTGGACGAGGAGGGTCGGTATCGCCTGTGGCCCTCATGCCCATTAGTCAACGTTGTAGCGCCTTATCAACTGTGGAGACCTCAAACTTGATTCTCCCCCACCCCGGGACAAAAAGGGAGAAAAGTCTTATTTCTGTGTAGTAATTGGCCAGCGCGGACACTCCATTTCTTCTCAAACCTTCCTCGCTATCCTGCAGGACTAGAGAAGCATGAGGTTTCCCTGTAACCAGAAAAACAAGTACTTTTTTGAAAGTGCTAATTAGTTGTGGCGGGCGGGGTTTGGGGGAGAGTTAAGTTTTATTAAACCGACTTGTCAGCATGGTGTTAAAAGGCTGGAAAGAGTCAGCCGTAGTCTTTGAAACAGTCTTCAGAAGGTGTGGAGTTTTTCCATATTGTTTAATTCTTAATGGCTATCCAGGAAGAGTTAAGGCTTAATTTTTTCTTTTAATCTAACGCTGAATATTTTAAGTATGTTGCTCGCCTTCCCTCCAGAACCTTTGCAAGATGCATGCTTGTTGTCTCCCAGTGCACTGGTGCTATCTCGGCTCACTGCAACGTCTCTCTCCCAGGTTCAAGTGATTCTCCTGCCTCAGCCTCCGGAGTAGCTCGATTACAGGCGCGTGCCACCACACCTGGCTAATTTTTTTTGTTGTTGTTTTAAATTTTTCGTAGAGACTGGATCACCATGTTGGCCAGGCTGGTTTCCAGCTCCTGACCCCAAGTGATCTGCCTGCCTAGGCCTCCCAAAGTGCTGGGATTACAGGCGTTAGCCACCGCATCCAGCCTGAAACAAATGTTTAAACCTGCATGACTATGTCATATTAGATAGAATATTACGTGTTAACGCACATCTATCTTTTACTGGGAAGGCCGTTTTTTTTCACACGAGGTGTAATTTTTTACTTGTTCGAACATACGTAGGTAGGTAGCCATATTTCACTGCACATTAATTGTCCAAGTGCTTTCTCTGTGGGAGATTCTTCTGCAGTAACAGCTGTTAACTAGTTTGTTTCCTTGGGTTTATCGGCTGTATTTTCCTTAGGACAACTTAATTTTTCTCCTGATAGCTTCAGAGTGACTTGACCAAGCTTAAGCAATTTTTTCTTTTTTTTTTTTTTT